TGCAATTATGGTGTGTGCTGTGTATACTTGGATTTCCGTAAAAAACACTTCAACACCGTTTGTTTCTATGTTGAAAATGTGTTTAGGTATGTTTTGAACATGTGTTTGATATAAAGAAAAATATTATATTGATATTCTTTTAGTTTTTTTATATAAAGAACAAAAAAATTAAAAAAATATTTGAATATATTTGTAAGTAAATAAAAAACTTTCAAAATATAATATATCACGCACCATGACACCATATTACAGTTCCATCGATAAACTTAAACCTATGGTAAAGTTAAATAGTGGAGAATCATCAAAATTAGGGCAGGCATGATGGTGCCAAAAGGGAATATCACGAACATCCTGTATAATTTTGTTTCCATTCCAAAGTTTTTCATTTTGGTCAAATTAAAAAGCTATGCTCTCTATGTAGCATGATTGCTACATCTCCTCGCCCTTTTTAAAGAGACAAATTGTTTTTTATAAAAAAAGTTAGAAAAGAAAACAATGGGCTTAAATCATTCGTCGAACACAACCAAACCCTACATCCAAAATTCTTATATTTATCAATGCATTTTTCTATTAATATTTGTACTATTATTTTATTAATATTTAATATATTGATGGAGTCATATATAAAAAACATTTTATTGATGAATCTTTTCATCAATAATATTTTTTATAATAAGTATATTGATAATAAAAAATATTATTACTGATAAATTTACTAATGGAAAAAACATGTTAAAAAAATTATTCATTTCATTTCGTTAATATTTTCCTCAGAAAGCTTGTCATATAATTGACAAAAATGCCATATAAAATTTCACATGTGATTATTTAAAAAAATATTTTAAAAAACTAAAACATAATTAAATTAATATTAATCAACACTCCATAATAATCAGAACTGAGTTGCTTAGAAAACAAATAAGAAAATCAACTCAAATAAATTTACAGGAAAACAAATAAGAAAATCAACTTAAACAAATTTACAATAAATAAATAACACAAAAAATAAACAACAATAATAAATAAATAAATCAACTAAAAAAATTTTCATATGAAAAAAATAAAGTTGCAATCGCTAAAAATTTAAAATTCTATAAATAAATCAATTAAAAATTAATTTCATATGAAAAAATCTTACAGCAATATTCATACAATTATTAAGAAAAAAATTTAAAAATATAATAAAAAATATAATGAATAAAACATAAAAAAATATTATCTTAATATAGTCGCGAGTGAAGTTGAGAAGAGAACAAAAAATAAATTCATAAAATATGTTAATTAAAAAAATTGAGAAGAGAAAACAAAAAGAAAAAAAGACACATATGAGAATGAAAGAGAAGAAAATGAGTTGAGAAGAGAAGATAAGATAAGAAAAGAAAAGAAAATGATGTTGCTATTTTTTACATAAGAGGAAGAAGAGCACGAATAGGCTCTTCTGTTGTGAAATAAAAGATTCTAGTTTTTTTATTGGATATTTTATTGATAATTTTATCAATTAATAATTAAATATTAATATTTTTAATCATTTCATCGTTATTCCGTTTATAATATTTAATTTAAAATTTTAATTTAATAAAAAATTTCATAAACCACTAAATATCACCGATAACTTTCAATCTGTTGGTGATTTTATCTGTAATATTTAAGCTAAATATTCAATTTAATCAAAACATTTCAGAAACCTGTCAAATTACAATGATGAATTTTCAATTCGTCAGAGATTTTTTCTGTAAAGAACAATAATTAACAATGTAATTGGAAAGTAAATAGTTTTAAAGTTCTTTAAAAAATAATGACACAATTTTCTGTCAGTGATTCTCTTTATAATTGACAGGATGAATAGTATTATGAAGAAATAAATATTTTATCAACAAGTTTACAAACAGATTTTACTGATGGTATTAACACTGTCAGTAATTTTATTACTATAAATGACACATCATTATATGTTTTAGCTTTATTTTAATTTTTTTCTCATGGTAATTAATTTTCTCGGTATATATTAAAGGAATATTTTTATCAATAAAATTCATTATAATTTTCAAATAAAAATATTTTACCAATATTTTTATTTTTATTTGTTAATTTTTAGTTAAAGTTGTTCTACAAATTCGTTTCATCCTCTTGTCAAGAATGGTAATCATGAAATTGAAAATGAATCCCAAATATTTTTGTTCTATTAAATTATTTGTGTGTTTTTGGTATGTAGTTGTTGTTTGAAAAAAATTATTTTATAAAATATGCTTTCAGTTGAGGTTAATTTAAAAAAATATATATTTGATTAAAACTATAATTGAAATTGAAGTTAAATAAAAAGTAGGTTAATATGTTTGGTTAAAAGAATGCTTTTTAAATTGAGGTTATATACATATTAATGGTTTTTAATTTACATATATTTAGATTTAACTAGTGTTATTATATCATGAAATAAATAATATTAATATCAAATATTTTTTATTATTCCATTAAATTATGTGCAATTTCATCACGTACGGAATTTATCCAACAAGGACTATATTTTTCATGGTTTCTTAAGCGCGCAACAATAAAAACTGAATTTTTTGTTACGTCATCAAACGATATCTTTCTAATTTTTTAAATAAAACACAATTAAAAATAAAAATAAAAATAAAAACTGAATTTTTTTAACTAGATCAGATCCGGCAAGAACAAAATTGGATTACAATTAAATTCTGCAAATACTACATCATCAAGCGATCTCTTTTTAATTTTTTAAATAAAACACAATTAAAAAAATAAATGTTGAATTTTTTTTAACTAGATTAGACTCAATTCAACATATTTAGCTTTGAACTGATTAATTTATTTTAACTGGGTCGGACTTGGTAAAAACAAAATTAAGATTGCAATTAAATTTTAAAAATACTAAGTCATCAAACGATCTTATTTTAATTTATGTAGTATTATTAAATAATATTAAACACTAGTTTTTTAAGTAAAATATAATTTTTTAAAAAAAATTAAAATAATATTTTACTCAAAAAACTAGTGTAATTATAATCATGACACTGTTTATATATACAGTACCATATAAAATTCATCTGGTACTGTTATTTATTTTAACTGGGTCGGACCTGGTAAAAACAAAATTAGGATTGCAATTAAATTCTAGAAATGCTAAGTCATCAAGCGATCTCATTTTAATTTATGTAGTATTGTTAAATAATATTAAACACCAGTTTTTTTAAGTAAAATATAATTTTTTTAAAAAAATTAAAATAATATTTTACTAAAAAAAAACTAGTGTAATTATAATAATGATACTGTTCATATAAACAGTACCATATAAAATTCATCTGGTACTGGTCACGAGTAATAACTAGGTGAATTTAATTTATTTAGGCACTATTCACTTGTTAGAAAACAGTACCCAGATGACTTATATTATTCACCTGATTTGTAATGATTTGTAATGATTTGTAAACGGGAGAAGCAGCTCTCTCAGCAGCTGCTTCTTACGAACCGGCATTTAAACAAAAATATATAGGTCCCACATGAAAAAACCAGTTGCTGCATTTTATGTCACCCAACTTATGTAATTATCTGTTAAAATATGCGGTTCCATAAAAGCATAAAGGCAATTTCATTTCTTAACTTCCTTTTTTCAATACTTGTGATGGTAGCAATAAAACCTTCACGTTAATTCCATAAAAAAGCTTATTACTTTACTTTTACTTGGAGGTCACCATACACACTTGCTTCTGTATATATATTTTGATAATCAGATCACTCACTTTTAAATCTAATATCTATCACCAATTTAAAACATCATTTCGAAAGTAAGGGGTAATAGTTTCTGTTTTTTAGCATGTTTTATTTAGAAAAAATATTAAAAAATATATTATTTTTATATTTTTAAATAATTATGATATGTTAATTTTTTTTTTAAAAAAAAGGAGTTTGGGAAAATAAAGTAATTCGTGAAAGAAGTGAGAGACAGCATGGCAAAGTTGTAAATCAATCGCGTTCATTATCTGCAAAAAGCAAACAAATATAAACTACATAAAATGCTCTTAAATAATGATATTCTTTCACGTTCGGACAGAAGGTCTTACAACAATTCAGTTTCTCGCAAAACCAAGGTTCGCAACCTCTCTTAAAGACTCCCGTGGTACTCTAAACAGTAGCTATGGTGATGACACTTGTCCCTATTTCCTTTCTTACTAAAGTCAAAGCCACGTGGCAGCGGGTAATGGAATTACTAATATCACTGATCAACTTATGCTATTTGCCCATGCAAAATACAATCAAGAGCTGAAACAAAATATAACCTGATAGCTAATGTGCATGGATACTGTTTTTAAAAATATTTTTTCATTATAAAAATATATTTTAGAATTTAATAAGTTCCTCTTTTAAAAATAAGGGTTATAAAAATAATCAAAAGAAATTATAATCTTATAAATACAAATAAATAATATTATGATCTTTTCAATGCATTTTAACTATAAGAGTGCATGGTATATATAAACATAATAATTAAATAAAAATAAATTAAAGAATTGTTACAATAGTTAAAATGATAAAAAAGTTAATAGGGGATTAAAAAGTTATTTTTACTGAAAAAAATAAAATAAAAAGATTGTTAGGATTTTGTAATTATTAAACAATTAATTCAAAATATTTAAAAATTATAATTTCAATAAACAAATTTTTTTTTTTAAAATAGATATCATGCAACACGCTCGATGTAAAAAAATAGATATCATGCAACACGCTCGATGTGAGAACACTATTTTTTTTTATTAATTATTATTTCATATGACACTAATCTTATTTTTTTTAATATATAATAAAAATTCTTTAAAATAATTTCATCATATACACCATAAACAAACAAAATCTGAACGACAGAAACCCGCACTCGTGTGCTGTCCGTACGTACTGACACAAAACACGGCCGAGGTAACTCCTTTCCTATCCCGGCGACCAGGAAAATAAATCGCCGTCGAAAGAAAAAAAAGGGGAGGTCGGGGATTAAGTTTATAATCCATTGATTAAAAAACATTAAATAAAAAAGCAATACAGTGATTTTCATCAAACAACAGGAAAGAAACAGAATTTCTTACTGCTGCAAAAAGAGATCTGCTAATACGTTTTCACATTCGTGAAAGTAAGAAAAAAAACTAACAGATCACATGATAAACCTCTCTTTTTGGGGGGTCTTCATCTCTAATCTTTTCTAATGTAAGAATAAAAAGGCAAATAAATTTCTGAAAAATCATGCAATCTCCGGTGGGGGAGGAAGGTTAAGATTAAGATCAAGATCAACAGAACTTCTTGGCGCCTTGATATCTTGATGATTCAAATCAAAGACGATAGGATGATGATGATGATGATGATACCCATTATCAAAAACCGTCTTTTGGTACTGACTCTTCATCACTGCATCAAAATAAATCACCTGCTGATGATTCATCACCATCGGCTGAAACGGCAGTCTCACGGTGGATACAGCTGGACCGAGATTAAGATCCAACGGTGTATCACTGCTGGAAAACTCCACGTTACTGCTTTGACTTGGACTCTGATTGTTATTACTATTGCTGCCGCCGCCGCCACAACTGTTATTCTTGTTGGATGCTTTATGGTTGCTGTCCACAGAGATAGTGTTTTTCCTGACATTCTCGTATGATGGGTAAGCAAAGTTGGTTTTCGCCTTAGAACCACGGAACTCACGTGCGGCAGCATCGTAGGCACGTGCGGCTTCCTCTGCGGTGTCGAAAGTGCCAAGCCAAACCCGGCTCTTCTTACCAGGGTCTCTTATCTCAGCGGCGTATCTTCCCCAAGGCCTCTTTCTCACACCTCTAAAATGCACCTCCTTGCCTCCTCCACCAGCACCACCACACTTGCCGCCCTTATTTTTTTGTTAGAAAAAAAAGAGAGGGTCACTTGATTTAAAAAAAAAAGGAGAAATTAATTATTACTGACTATTCTGATTATGATTGATTTTTATGTTTGTGAGTTTCATTTTATGAGAAGAGTTTGGTATATGTGCTTTTCTTATTTTTTTGTTAGAAAAAAGAGACAGGGTCACTTGATTTAAAAAAAAAGAGAAATTGATTATTGCTGACTATTTTGATTATGATTGATTTTTATGTTTGTGAGTTTCATTTTACGAGAAGAGTTTGATATATGTGATTTTTTTTTTTTATTACTCGAAAAGGTAGATCTGATAACCAGAATAATTCTCCTAATTACTATTTTTCTTTTTCCTTGCCCAATAATATAATTTCACAAATACCTATGTGTTTTTTTTAAAGTAAACAATCATGTAAATTATTCAATTTCGATCCCTTAATATTTTTTTTAATTTTATTTTGTTACAAAATCTCATTTTTGTTATTTTTTGTCCTTGATTGAGAGAGGAGAGAGAGATCGCTGGATTCCGATGATAATAAAAGAAACACGTCGTTGACAACTATTTAAACTACTAAAATAGATAATATTTGTGCCAAATTATTCTATTTGATTAGGAGAGTTCATACTAGGTATTTTTGTTTCTTGAACGGATTCCGACGATAATAAAAAAAACACGTCGTTAACAACTATTTAAACTACTAAAATGGATAATATTTGTGTCAAATTATTCTATTTGATTAGGAGAGTTCATACTAGGTATTTTTGTTTCTTGAAAATTCATAAAAACATAGATCTCAGCCAGGGTTGACTTTTGATTTCGGATTGAGTACAGTTTGTGAGAAGGTTTTTTAGATCATGAATAGATTTATCATTTGATGATGTATAGTCTAATTTGTTCTTAAAAAAAAAAGATGAACGACATGTCATCCACTCTAAGTACAGTTAAAAAATGGTTCAGTTATGCAGACCCTATTAAATAGGCTAGTGATTGACCTTTTTTTTCTCATTTCTTTATTTCAATTAATGCTTTTTTTTATTTGTTTGATAAAAAAATAAACGACATGTCATCCGCTCTAAATACAGTTAAAAAATGGCTCAGTTATACAGGCCCTATTAAATAGGCTAGTGATTGGGCTTTTTTTTCTCATTTGTTAATTTCAATTAATGCTTTTTTTTATTTGTTTTAAAAACTTAATTATATTTACATTAATACTGCTCTTCTATTTTATTTTATTTTGAGAATCTCTTTTAAATGGTAGTGAATTTTTTGTTATGCGTTTAATTTTTTAATTCATCTATAATTTTTTCAATCTTTTATATAAATGAACTATATTTTTAGATGATATTTCTAATATGTGTAGCTTACATATTATTTAATTTTTTTATTTTATTCAATCAATTTAATATATTGATCTATTTTTATTATTATTTGATTAAATAAAAAAATATTCTTTTAAACATATTGCTATGCAGATGAGAAGCATGAATTTACTATCTTGCCCTCGAGAAAAAGTGCTGGGGATACGATTGTCTTTGTAATAAGATTATTTTGATATTTTGAGATTAATGAGGGATAAGACAAAAAAATCACTTTTTTCTTGCACAGTAAAATTGCATGGATGCCCATATAAGTAAGAAATTGTTAGGTTACCATGAAAGGATATTTTTCTATTTTTGTTTGATTATATACTGAATAATAACCATGTTACACTTGGAATAGGACTTTTTCTTTAATTTTTAAAAGCATATTAAAAAGACCTACTTGCCCTTTGAATTTATATTCTTAAGCCTGTGGTTAAAGGGCATTTTATTCATTATGCAATTGGTCTCTTTGTTGTTACTGTGTTGGCCTGGTTAGTTTGGTTTTTCCAAATGAAAATAAATAATAATTAAAAAAATTTATCGTTATTGAGTTGCGTTAACTACTTCATGATTTTTAGATGACGAGTGTGGTTGATTCCAATAGCTAAAAAGACTGTTTTGAGACGGCGTCGACTTCATCTCAATATCTCCTTCATGAAATTGTAGCGCATGCACCAAGATGAACTCCACTTTGATGCTAGAGATCATTTTTTTTTCTTTCCTCTTTTTTCCTTTTACGTGTTGAGCCCTGCCCCATGATTCTTCATATTAGCCCCCAAATCCCCCCTCTCTTTCTTATTTAGTTTTTTTTTTTGTTATTTTTTTAGATAATTTATTAAATTATATTTTTGTTTTGATTTCATACTCATTCATTTTTTTCTTTGTTGAATTTTGTCTTTATTTTTTAATTGCTATATTTTCTAATCTGAGATAATTTTTAGAATTGTATTTTTCTTTACTCCACCTTTCATTAATTTTTCTCCTATTATATTTCATCCTTATTTTTTTAATTGTTGTATTTATTTCTTTTGCAAGATTTTCAAGATTAATAGTGTTTTACTTGATTTTATTTTCTAATATTTAATTGGGTTGGTCAAGCTCGTGTCTAAAATTTCATGAATTGCAAGTTTTGAAAATTAACATAGCTTCATGAGGTTTGCCTAGAATTATCTTGGTTTTTTTATATTGGCTTTTAAGTTGATGTTTTTTTAAATTTATCCTTCAATATTTATTTAATTAATAATTGAACTCTATTTTTATTTCTTAGATTCTATTATCTTGGTTTTATAATTCTTTTTTTTTAATTGAATTAGGTTATCTTAAGTTTTTATATCTTTCATTCTTTGTTGAATTTATTTTTTAAAATAAATTTTATTATTAAATTAAATAAAATTAATTGATTTAATATCGCTCATTTTATTTCATTTTGTTTGGTGTAATTTGGTTTTCTAGGATTTTTTCTAGTGCTCCATATAGTTTCTTCTTCTGATATTGTCATCCAAACTTTTATACTCCATATAGTTTCTTCTGATATTGTCATCCAAACTTTTATAGTTAAGTTTGAACTACCTTAATAAACTCAATTCTGATGAGCAATGTCTACAATTGAAGGACAACGAGTCTCCAGTTACTTTTTTTTCCTTTCTTTTATTGTATTTGTTTTAGCTAATTATTATTATTTTTTATATAATTTATTCATTATCATTACTTATAATTTAAATCATATTATTAAACTATTTGATATTATTAAATTTAACCAAGTTAATAACTCCAATATCAATTTTTTTTTTTAACACAATCATCGTCTGAATACCCCCTTGAAGCGCTTAAAAATCTCGGACCGGCCCGCGGAGCATCTGGTCGCGGCTGGCTATTGATCAAACCAGTCGAAAACGATATATCGGCCACATATGCTTCTTTCCATGAATATATCACATGTCCACACAATCAGTTTTCACTTCAACAATTATTAATCATTTGTCTTTTATGTTTATTTTGAGTGTCACCGTTGATCAAATAATGTAGCAAGAACTCCAATTTAGCCACGAAATAATTTTGTAGTCTACATAAGTGCGTATAGATATCATCATCCCAATCAATTTCATTAACTTTACTTTTAAAGCTGGCCGGTGGGATTCTTTAAACAAATTCATGGATGTAAACAAGAGGGTTTATACTTTAGAGTTTTCATTGAATTGCTAACACTACTAGATAGACGGCGTAAATTACAAATTGGTTCTTATAATTTAGTGAAATAATTAAATTTGTTTCTAGTTTTAGTAACAATTAATTAGTTCTTGTATTCTTAAATATCAACTTAATCATTTTTGCTAGTTTATGTTATTTTTAATTTTATTTGGTTTAAAATTACGAAGAAAACATCAAAAGATTTATGAAAAAAGAAGTTATTTTTTTAAATAAAAAACATTAAATTAAGCAAACATCTTCAATACCATCCAAAAAAATTAATTAGTTTTTCTTAAAACTAGAGGGTTGAATTATATATATATGTCAAGAGATGGGAAGAAAGAATATAGAAATACTCTTCTTTATCATCATATTTTATACGAACATATCAAGAGAAAATTGAACCGCCAATTGACACAATAAAGAATTATCCTTGTTCTGTTTTCTAGAACAGCCAAGTTGAGTTGGATGCACCTAACATTACGGCTGCCTGCAATGTCCAAATTTCACACTAAAACCACACCCCCGACAATTTGCGTGCCGGAGGTTTCCCAAAACCAGACCCCATCACCAACGCTTCCAAATTGACTTCAATTTTCCAAAACACGCCAAGACTTAGTTAGATTTCTTTAAGGAAATATTAAAATCATGTGGGTTTTATTGCGTGGTTTAGTTAATGTAGATAATGAGAAAGTCTTGACAACATAACCTTAATGTCTTCTCAAACATGAAAAACATTGACGCATCTTCCTCTCTATAACGTGTTTACAAGCTAAGAATCTGTGTAGAATTGAGGTTGACATATACTTTTCATTTAATTTTTGTTTTGTTTTAAATTATTTCTTTAGTATTTTTAAATTGTTTTAATATGCTGATATCATAAACAATTTTTTTTTAAATTATTTTAATATATTTTCAAGTCATAAACAATTTTTTTTAAAATTATTTTAATATATTTTCAAGTAAATAACACTTTAAAAAATAAATAAAATTTTCAATTCAACAAATGAATACATATGTTTTTTGGTAAAATTTGTACACAAAGAGGAACAGATATATACATTCAATTTGTATACAATTCAAATGGATGGAATTTAATTCATATACGGAATTCAATACATCCTTCTAACCGCCACGCCAGTAGCCGTCGCCTCCAACCTCACGCAATTCCTTTGTCTATTGAGTGAAAGGCGACGGCTTCCTTCCTATTGGCACTCGGTCTCCCAAGATGGAGACTTTCATTTCTGACTTCGAGGACATAATTCTATATAAAAAAAATCTGTATGGGAAACAATTTAGCTAGACTGAGATTCTTAATTACAAGTATTTCTTATTAAAAAATAATTTTGTTTTTGTTTTTTCTTTTAAAGAAAATCCCGTTTTGGCATGGCAAGATTGTTAATTACCGAAGTAACAAAGGACATGAACCTCGAGCTAGGACGCATTATAATG